TTTTGGATTTGCTGTTTCGCTGCTGTTATCAACTGTGCACTCTGTCCCGTGACGAAATAAGAACATAAGAACTTCAAGATGGCAGGATTACCGGAGGGATGCAGATGGTGAAGCAAACAAACAGTGAAACAAACCCTTAATCTATGTGGGGCTTGGCCTTGGGAAATGTTTGTCCTCGTTCAGCCATTGTTTTTGAAACTCTACTGAAGCTCTGAAGATATGCAGCAATACATATCCCAGAAACAATAAGTGAATTGCTTAGTTGATTGACAAAAAGTTAACAATTTTGATAATCGATTAACTATATTAAGTTATTTCAGCACTAACCCTGAAACATCGTTTGGTTTCAACTTCTCCACTGTAAGGGTTTGCTGCTTGTCCAGGGCTCAACAATAAGTATTATCTTGGGCTAGTAAAATGCTGCGTTGGGCTAGTTAATCTACTCACTGGTCCGATCAGGCAAGTGGTAAAAAAGTTCTTTCAGGAACAAATGATGGAAGTAGTTAAGGTACTGAGTCGCTGGAGTCCTGTAACAAGAGCTGACAGCATCTTGCTTCCATTCTAGCTAAGAGGGTCTTAGTAGACTTCTGAGCCACTTTCCTGACTGGGCAAAAAAACATGAACGTTCCTCATAATAAACTCGATCTCTTTGGGTTATGAACTGCTGGTGGCTGCCTGGTGGAAATGCTTTGTCAGTGTCGGAGGCACACACCTAAAACTTACATAATGATCAGTTTTTGTGAATGCCAGCCAAGTGTAATGAGTTGCTTTGGATGCCACACGGCCACAAAAACAACCCAGAGCTTATAAATTGTGAACGCTCCCTCTCAAACTGGTTATCATAGAGAGCCGCCACAGTGTCCCGGCCTCACAAGAAACCAACCCCCACCACTTCCCCAAAGATACCGGTCCCTGCCGGTTTTTAACAAGGTAGTCTGCTTATGCAACAACAAATAGCTGGCAGGGTGGCTTAGGAGGCAGCAGACCTCAGTTTGTCCAGGATTTGCTGGGTTTAGACCTTCGCCTTGTTTCCTTCGTTTTGCCTATTTATGTAGCAATAATAACTACAACAGAGCAATAAGCAGGAAACTGATACTCTGACTTCAGCAAGGGGTTTGAGCAGAGGGAGGATTGGAATGTTTATACGTTACCATATTATGTAGACAACTATAATTTGAGTTTAGCTTTTCAAAATATATTCCTCAGTATGATGTAAAGCTAAGTCTATGCACTTCTTGACTGCTGTGTAGAGGAGATAGTCATTACCCTTTTCCTTGCAGGGAGGTCAGAGGTCAGAGTCCCCTATAGAACAACACTAGTATTCAGTGTATTATTGTAGGACACTTCAACAGGTTGGGGACTTGCGTCTAGAGTTGCAACAATTAGTCGATTATTAAACTATTATATTAATCAGAAAAAAATTCCAAATACTAAAAATGTGAATATTTTCTGGTTTCTCGGTATTTCTGGGTTCTGGACAAAACAAGACATTTGAGGACGTCACCTTGGGCTTTGGGAAACAGTTTGTGGGACCAAATAACGAATCAATTAATCAGTAAAATGATCGACAGATCCATGTCCCGCAGTCGAATGACCTTCTCTGCAGTCACTTGGTCTCCCTACTGCTCTGCAGTTTAACAGTGATACTGATGCGATTCATTGTATCTCGTCCCACTTTATGATGTTAGGGTCGTCGCCCTGTCCTTGAGTGTGGCCATTTCTAACGGCTAGAAAGACGTTTACACTTCCATGTCTGTAGACCACACGCTGTATGGACTAGTCAAATTGAAGCACACTGAGCCCATTATGTGCTGAAAATATAATGAACAGCTGCCTGTACTCTGTATGTGCATCCGTGACTGAAGGAAAAATGTCAGTCCTCAAGGGGGCGATACTTTTTGAGTTTAGTCAAACAGCTGCCTGGCCTGACGTCCTTAGAAACATCCATCAAAGAAGACAGGTACACGCTGATACTGGACCGAGGTTATTTTAGTTAACTAAAACTAAATCAAAATCTAAAACTAAGTTTGAAAAAACGTTTAGAATAACTGAAACCATGTTGTGTATTTAAACATAATGTTAATGATATACAAGTCTGTAGTTTTTCATATTTATCAACACAACAATCTTGTTTTGTTTATATTGTAATACTTCTAAAATCTTGCCCCTGAAAAAAAAACTAAAACCAATACTGAAATAATAAATGAACTAGAACATTTAAATACGTAACTGAAATAAGCAAACACACTGGAACTGAAACTAAAGTGAATTGAAAACACAATTGAAAGGTAAAATAAGAAACTGTATTGTTTATTTAAATTTGATATGTTCCATATATATAGTTTCCTAGAAAGCAACTGTTATTTAACTGTAACAACCTACTTTGTCACTAATGGAAAATGTAGACAGTGTTTAGTTATTGACTTTTAATAAACACAATCAACCAAACCCTAGTAACTGTTTCAGACCATTGCCTCTGTTTATTTCTCATCGGTACTAAATTATATGAATCTTTACACTTTTTAAACATTACTGCATATTCTCACATCTTAGTTGTCTTTCCACTTCTTACTAAATTGAGTATTGGGATGTAATTGTCAAAAAAAAGAAACAGATATACGCAGAAAATGTGTCTCATCTAGCAGCAGTTCTGTGGCTGAACGCAGAGGAAGAGGACTGAAGCGTTGCTGTAGAACCTGTTTCTAAGTTCTGGTCTGTGCATACTTGGATGTCCCATGACTAGCCAACTAAATATGGAGCCTTTTATTCTACTCATAATCATAGAAGCACCATCAGAATAAAAAGGCCTCATGTAAACATCTCGAGCAGAGATGATTCTGATTATTCTGAAATAAATTCCATTCTTTCTAAAACAGCTGCTATGAACCTGTCACGGTCCATTCAACAGATTAAACTTTGTCATGCAAATGCTCCTTTAGAATACTTAGTTTTACTGTTTTGGTGCATGCTCAACATGGCCTTTAGTGGTTCTTTAGAGATTCCAGATCATAGTGGCTTGCTTTCTCCTGATAAGTACCAGCTTTTACTTTAAAAGCACAGCCATAAAGCAATAATTCTTCCAATGGAAGCCTCTGACAGAGCCCTTCCTGTGTGTGTAGCCCGCTGTGAGCGTGTAGAGCGGCGTAACTTATCCAGGTGGGGTATACACTCAGGTATGGGAGGTATGCTCATTAAACATGTGCCTCAGGTCAGAGAGTTTAGAAAGTTCACACACAGGGATAACATTTCCTCACAGCTGCTCATGTGAAAACCCAAAAAAAATATTTTCAACCACAACAACACTAGCTGTGTTTCCATGAGTGTATTTTGATGCACATGTACAAGTATTGAATTAGAAAGATGTTCGGTCAGGGTATGATGGTAAATAGAAGGATAAGAAAGTTTAGGACAGAAATGACTGGAAACCTTTTGCTTGTTCAAAGCTCGAAATATTATAAAAAGGAGATTAAATCAGCAACCAGTGGCCTCTGTCAACCCCTGCACCAGAAAACAAATCGATAGAGCCCAGGCTTTTAGCATGTCACGATACTTAATAGCCTGAAAGCTCTGCAGTGACTGAGAAGAACCTAAAGATAATGAACTCTTGGTGCTGTGAACGGTATACTGCATTTTACTGTAAATATGTGTGCAATTAAAATCCTCAGCAGTGACGTAAGCACTTTCCGTGTCTCCATTCAGCACAATATCCCTTGTTCAGCATCTCCAACATGCGTGCATCCTGCTAAGCTGAGCTGACCCACTTGTGTTCTCACCATGTGCTGTGAGGTTATGCAACCCATGAAAAGAGGAACAAACCACTGCTAGCTCCGGCTGTGGCATGCCAGCCGCTGGGCTATTATTAGAACACAGTGCTGAACTAAACCTGGACACATCTACAGGAGGAAATGCACTCAGGTGTCAGCTGGTGTTGTCGTTTTGTTGCAGGTAGATGTAGGAGTGCAGTCCATATTTACAATGACCACTATTATTCAGAATTTGACAGTATTCTGGATTGATAAGGGTTGTGGAAACAGCATATTCCGTTTGGATAGTCCTAATTAGGCCCTACTCCGAATGTAGCGTTTTCTGATTGAGGCATGTGGGATATGCTGCTATTATTGCATTATCATAGCATGTGTTGTACAGAGCGTTTAGAATATGCATTTATTTGAAATTCCTCTGTAGGACGTCATTAACAGTTAATTGGCTGCATGTTAACAGGACTTATGTTAACAGTTTTGTAGAAATATTGCCTTTTAGATTAAACTGGAATATTTTGGGAATGATGAGTGATGATGATGAATGATTGTGATTCCACACAGCTACAGAAATTAGACCTAATTTGTTTGATTATAGGAGAAGGGTTATAGACACCCACTTCCCCATTTTTCTTTTTAAATTTAGTATCATTCTTAGCCTTTTTTAAAAATTGATTGTTGTTTTAATTTAAAGTATGACTGTTGGTAAGACACTCTCCGTGGACTGTAAATTTGAATTATGTTTATTACAAATGTATATTTCTGATTGTTAAAAATAATCACAATACTTTTATCACCATAATTACATTTTCTTACAAAACACATATTTATTGCATCACAAAAAAGTGGGGAGACAACAGGCAAGCCGAGGCTTCCGCCATGGTGACGGGCTTTGGATTTTGAAATGACTAGGAATATGTGGGCTCTCCTTTGTTCAAAATAAATCAGGAAATCTATATAGGACTGTATGCTGGCAAGCTAAACAGCTTTTTCAAGTCAAGCCACGTGAGGATATTCAAGATTATCATGATTCACAATTATCACGATAATAGAGGTACACCGTGATATATTGAAGTGTTTTTTCGCGATAATTTGGTGGTTATAATTTATTGCCCCATCTCTAGTAGGGCCTCATGTGTTTCAACTGTGTGTTTCAAAAGCACAAAAAAAAAAATAAATAAATATGAAACACTGTCTTCTTGTTGCTCCATGGTGACCTCTTTTTACTTTGTGTCTCTGCAGCTTTGTTTACTACATGGACATGGACTCCAGTGGAAAAAGGGACTCTGACAAACTGAACTGTGAAGAATCCACAATCATAATTTGAGCGGGATGTAAACGGACTGGCTGATGATTCCAAAACCCCGGATCAGGAACAGTATGCAAATCAGACCACAGTGCACTTCCAGCACCATCCAGTTACAATCAGTGTCACCACGGAGCTGAGGATAATGCCAGTGTCTCTGAGAGCTGACTGGATGTAACAACCAGGTTAATGACATTTGTTGTTTTATATTTGTTGGTTATTTGTTCCCAACAGCCCCAGTTACAGGCCTGCTCTTCCTTAACATTTGTAATGTACTCGGCTGTGGCACAGGTTACCCTACTGGACTATACCAGTGTTCTAAGGTCAAAGCATGGGCCGCCTATCATTCTACTGATGATACTATGAACAACAGACGACACTACCAGTTTTTCCCTCCCACAATGCCCCGTACAATCTCGTGCCTTAAAGATGATTCACAGAAGTGCGATTGGATCTTTAAATTAAATGATATTGTGGGTAACAGAAGAAGCTCAAATACCAAGACAGAAACCTCATGAATGTAGGTTTCTGACCAATGAAATCTTTTGCTTCCAGTGATGTCATACGTTGTAAACACAAACGCAGGCTGCAATAATGTCAAGTGAGAATCAGAATCATTTCGGTGCCCTTATCTCCCCAAAAAGATTTTGTTTCAGTTTCATGTTCGCCCATGTAAAGCAAGTTTACAGGGATATTTCACAAATCTGTGCCACACTCCGGAGGCAGAGGCGGAACAAATGTGAATATTATCAGTTTTATTATGTTGTTTTGAAGGTGTACTATAGAATTCACACCTTTTGAAGCAGCAGGCCTGCGTCGACTCCATACAATACTGTGCATGTTTAACCAAACAAAGTCCAGCAGGGAATTCAAAACTGGTTTTACTGGAGTTCCTGTTGAATCCAAATAGCACCTGTTGGACAAATTGCGTATATCTGTTTAGTATTAACATGTTTGATAAATTAATGTATGACCAAGAAACAATCATGATCATTTGGTGGGGGGTTTTTTGTAACTTTTTACTGAATGTTTTTTACATTGAGAGTGGCATTTGAGGACTCCTCTTAAAGACATTGAAATAACTCTTTTGTGAATACAATTTATTTGATCAAGTCAGTGCTTACAATCTGTCATTAAGAGATACTGAACATTGTTCTGTACTCTACCTTTTAAGTTTTAAGGTTTCTGACTGGTGTGATAATGTTTAATGGCTTCATTTAACGGGAACAGCCCGACACCTCAGCAGTATTGAGCCATCTTTGGCTGAATCTTTCTTCAGTGTCTGATTTGGGGACTCTTTGAAGATTTGCCATCTGGAAATAATCCCCAAAAGCAGTCATGGAATCCTAACTGTCCCTTCCTTCCTTCCTTCCTCCTTCCTTCCTTCCTTCCCCCTCTTTATTGAAGTGCTTCAAACCGTTTGCAGCGGCACGTAATGCTGTGTAAAAGACACGCAGGCAGTGGTTGGTTGTACCCTACTATTTGTGCTGTGAGAAAGTCATGGCTAGTTTGTGCTCTGATTCATGATCCACTACATGTGCATCATTAGGCTGATCCACAGGTGAGGTGGTACTCGAAGCGACTAGGATTTCCAGGAAGATAGAAATAACAAAAAGTTAAGAAAAAAGCAAACATAGAGGAGTTAAAGCATACAGTGGTGTATTATAAAACTGTATGTTCCAGACCTAGAAAGCTCTACTAGCCTTCACTCCCCAGCACAGACCGGAGGAATGAACCTCCTTTTGTGTTCCTAGCACTGCGTAGCATGTGGGTACAGTTCAGTCACTCAGCAGTAGTTGTAGCTTTTGGTTACGCGTTTCGTAGTGTGATCCTACCTCATTCTAAGCACTCTGAAACATCTTATCTACCTTAACAGCCTTGTGTTAGTCTGTGATAAAAGGCAAACTGCTTGAGTTCGATAGATTTTTACCTCAGACTCTTTAATCCTGAACCATCCTCTAATTGACTTCTCTATGTAGTGTTTTACTTAGCTACAAGTGACGCACAGCTCTTCCCTTTAGAATGACTACATCCGGAAACACCTGTTACCTTCTCTCCTAATGGCTGTATTACTCCACAGTACTAGTCTTACCTTACGCTCAGTTGACCCTTCAGAAGTCCCGCCCCTTTTTGCTCTGTGCTCCAATAACAGTTTGTTCAGAACTACTGTCAACCTTTTCTGTACTTAAATATGCTATTTGCTACGCTCGTCTATGTTGATTAGATAATTAAATAGCACCACTAGCTAGAGAACGACTGATGTAGATTAGCTAGGTAGCGAGTGCTCACTAACTGTGACTATATATATATATATATATATAGCTAGCTAGATCCTGGACTGTGCCATCAGAATAATTAAACTACTACTTTCTAGTGTTTAGTTTTAATTCATAGTAAACTGGGCACTATACATTCATCAAAGCAATCTAGTGTACCTGCAAAGCCCAAGGGCACATTAGTCATATTATTCATTATACTTATTTGTGTGAATGCTGAGCAGCAAATTCTGATTCAGATGTATTGGGCTGCCTATGACTGATCCTCTTTTGCCTTTCTGCTTTTTCAAAAATGGCTGACTTCAACCCCTGTAACTTCCACAACTTTTACTTTTCAAACACAAAAGCTATGTAAAGATACAGTGGAGTCAAGATGTCACACTCCCTCTGCCTGTGTTGCTATCGCAGCCTCTCTGTGGTTAGTTAACATTCTCGGTGTTCAGCTGAATAGAGCCACTGAAACTGCTGTTTTTATCATCTATGTCGGTGAATTAAGTATTTATTTCAATCAAACCAGAGTGGGTGATTGTTGGAACAGTGTAAAGACTAACAAAGATGGTTCTGGTGAGTTTTTATTGTCTGTCCACTTTGAATAAAGTTACGACGTTGTGATGATATGCAAGGTAAAAAAAAAATTGTGGCTAGTGGTAGCGATATTACAGTTGTTTCTGGTTAAACATAAGGTCTATCTCTGTAGGAATCCTTTCCATAATGTTGTCAGACACTTTTTTTTTTCTTGGGTACATTTGTCCCCAAGAATTATCCTGTTGCCGCCGCCTTTACAGTCCTTTTCGCAAATATTCTCACATCTAACTCAGTGAATTAAAGCCCTGTTATGTAACTTTTGATATTTAAATAACAGGTTCACTATCATTTTGATGCCATATTGGGTTGTAATAGGGTGAATGGTGCCTCTGTCATTCCCACTGTACACCCTGTACGCCTGTTCTGTACCTAACTAGGTTAGCCATAAAGCCCTGGACTCCCAGGACTGGGTCGGAGCATCAGGGGAGTGTAGGCTGGTGGTGTAACTACTAAAAAGCCACCAGACACAAATAGGAGCCTGAAACGGAGCCCTGGGGGTGGCAGATTTTCAAAATAAAGGCACCAAATGGTAATAGGAGTGTACTAGGGAGCATGGGAGGGTCCAGATTTTCAAAAGAAAAGCTCCCAAATAGAAACAGGGGCTTACTGGGAGGGGGCGCTGAAGTACAATAAATTTCCTCATAAAGCCCCAAAAAGTAAAAGGAGCTTACAGCAGGCTTCGTGAGCACTGAAGACTTTAGAAATAAAAATCTCTAAAAATGTTCTCTATGCACACAATTCAACACCTTGTCTGTACACTTAAGCTCATTCAAATCCTTATGTTATGACTCCTGTTTCAACACCTTTCCACTAAATTTTGCCCCTTTCCTACTATTCCAACTCTTCATACTTATTCAGCTGTTTCTTCATACAAAGTTAAGGCAGTAATGCAGTTTACTCATTCTGCATCAACTTCAGCTCTTTTAAATTCTTACACTGTAACTTTTGAATTCCTTTCATTGCTTTCACTATATTTGGAACCTTCACCCCTTTCCCACATTTCCAACTATTCAGACTCTGTAGCTGTATTCATACAAATTAAAGCTAGCAATGCAGTTTACCGTCAGCTTTTCAGCATCTAGCAATCACGAGTTCTCTTCATTTTGCAGCTTTGTGCATTTATTATGGGCAAGCTGCATAGTATAGGAGCATATGAACTATTAGTAAATTATCTTGTTCCCACAGCATAACACATGTGTATAATATGGATCTTATTTGCACATGATATTTTGTTCACTCTAGATAAAAAAATGTATCTTCTCTGCACATATGTGCCTTAATGCACCTTTAAAATTTTAAATAATGACGAAATCATTATTTTTTTGTTTACTTGTGTGTGTACATGCTGTACATGTGCCTGGGTCCATGCTCAACTGCACATGAAATAAATGGCCATGTTTGGTCACAGGGATGCCTGGGTCTGATGTCTAATTGAAAAGGTGTCAGATTACAGCACGGTGAAATATACACAATTTAAATTCTCATTACAGCTCTGGGCTGGCCTGTCAGATTAACTCTAACATGTCATATTTCTTGGATGTAACTGTGTGTGTGTGTATGTGTGTGTGTGTAATAACCTGCATGTGAGATGGTCTCAATAGAGTGTGTCCAAAGGATTGATACACTTTTAACTGACTGACCTTGCCATGTTAACACCATCCAGAAGAAGACTTTAATGCATTTTGTTTGGTATGAAGATACAGCATATCTGACCAGTTCACTTTTCAGCCATTTGTAGAATGGGTAATTACATCCCATCAATGTCTTTTTACACAGACTATCAAGGACACACACGTTCTTACTCCCAGTTTGTCAAATACTGCTGCTTGGTCAGTGGCCCTCCACTGTGGCCTTTAAAATATGACACTGTGGAACTTCCGGTTACGCGATGTGGTGGTAAGACGCATGTTGTCCGAGCTCCATGCCTTTTCAGTATAACCTTTTCATAAAATACCCTTTTTCGACACACAGTGCTTTATCCCAAAAGTTACTTTGCTTTACAACAAAATTTGAGAGTCAGAATATTGACTGAGAAGATTAAATTGGACCTACAGAGATGGAGTGCATTACCCCTTTCACTTGTGGGTCGAATCGAAACAATTAAAATGAATGTATTTCCTCGAATCCTATTTCTTTTTCAGACCCTTCCTATCTTCCTCCCTAAATCTTTTTTTTAAATCACTTAATACCACTATGCTTTCTTACATTTGGGTAGGCAAGCCCCCCAGGATTCAAACATCAATTTTCCAGAGGCCCAAAAAAGATGGGGGCCTTGCACTTCCCAATATGCAGTTGTAATATTGGGCCGCTAACCTCGAAAAGCTGTTTAGACAACACTTTGGATTAAAATCCCCTTCTGTCCTTACCCTATTTGCTATATACAGCCTATAACCATCTCTTTCTACCTTCTTCACTAGACCCAGCTTTTAAAAACTGTAAGAAGTAAGGCCTGGTTTCTTTTCGTGATCTCTTTTTGGATGAGACATTTGGTAGTTTGGAGAACCTTGTCACTAAATTTGATCTACGTAATTGTGATCGATTTAGATATTTCCAGCTTCGTAATTTGTAAGAACTCACTTAATGTCCTTCCCTAAACTACCTGAGAAGACTCTTCTAGAAAATATAATGTCTCCCTCAGCATCGCAAAACAGCATTGGATCAATTTACATTCTTCTTCTCTCTTCGCAAGCATCTTCTCTTTTATGGCTTAAAGAATTTCTTTCCTTCACCTAAAAAAAATTAAACACAGTCAGAGGATCTGTGAAAAGATTTCATGGAACTTGGGACCCCTTTCTCTCCTATGTCAACTCTCTACCTTCGATAGACTGATCAAAACATCGATCTGATCAAACACCTCTCTCTCCTTTCTGTTTTTGCTCTTGTGTATATGTTCTAGTTTAATTTAATTTTATTTTATTATTTTATTATTATTATTATTGTTATTGTTTTTATTATTATCATTATTTATTCTTTTTCTCCTTTTATCTACCTCATGAAAGTGCACATTGTA